GGGGGGGGGGGGGGGGGGCAAGCTTTGTACACTCCAGTTCTTAATGCAAACTTTTGCCAAAGCATTGACAAAGCAGCTGAATGGAATTTCCCTGTTATTCGTTATCCTAGTGCTACGTCTAACGTCCCTGCACACCAGCCGACGGGAGTGTTTACAGGCCAACTTACTAGGTTTGAGTATGTCTGCAACAACTGGTATGATTTCAAAACTGCAGCAGCGATGCTCACACACCACATGCTTTTTCGCGGGCACTCTCCAACAACGCTTGCGAAACGATGGCTTCCTATATTCGTAAACGTCAACACAGGTACCCTGCGCACGTGACCCGCCTCTCCAACTGGTTCCGCAACATGCTTCAATGGTCTATTCATCACCCGCTTTCTCGGGTATCCACACACTGTCCTCGGACTATGCCTGTCACAACCCCTTCTTCATTATCGGCGGCTGTCACACCTATCACAGCCTCTTCTCCATTACCTGCGTCTACCGCACCTTCGTCCTCATCAGTCTTAGTAACCCCTTCCATGCCGTTTGTGACCCTGGCTGCCCTTTTTCGGTTAGCAGCCTCTTCCTCATCGGCCTTGGTTGCTTCTACGATTGATTTCGCGGGAGCAACTCGACCCGCAGCTGTTGTGTCGCCCTTGGTCTCGGTGTGTTCCTCCATGGCATCCGGTGCCACCGCAGCCGTTGTGTCGCCCTTGGTCTCGGTGTGTTCCTCCATGGCATTCGTGACCACCGCAGCTGCTTTGTCGCCCTTGGTCTTGGTGCGTTCCTCCATGGCATCCATGACCATGCCTGCATTACCACCTGCAGAGTCCCCTCTTCGGGTCTCACCTATGATTGCCCCCCCTGTCTCTGCTTCAGCCACTTCACCACCCCTGACTTCATCCCCCCCGTCTTCACCGCCTATATTTCCCCTGGTTTTATCGCCGTCTGTTACCCACCTTCCGACAACTCTACCACCCCTGTCTTCACCACTCCTACCTCCCCTGGTTTTGTCTCCAGCTGTTACCCCTCTTCCTAATCCACAAACCACTTCGTCCACACAGACTCCGTCATCATGTTCTGCCCCTGCAGAAAGCCTACTTCGCCGTCCTAGACGCCGACTTCGACCTACTTCCCAACCTCAGCTTACTCCCCTTTCCTCCATCTTTGTTTTTGGACGAAGAAGAACCCGTTCATTCTCCCCACCACGGCCCTCCCCAACATCCCGTCCTCGTCTTTTGTCGCCCCAAGCATCCTTACCACGCTTGCAACGCTCTTCGACTGCAGACCTTTCTGCAACGCGGCAAACACAAAACAGGAGGGATGATGGCGAGGGACCATCTGAAGATGAACTTGGCAAGGGGACTGTAGGATATTCTGTAGAAAATCCGTCGGACCGGCCTCCACCGAATCTGTGTGGCCTCGTTGCTACTAACATCTGCCTGCAAGCCTATCGTCAGGAACCATATACTCACTCTGATTTCTTGGCCATTGCTTCCGATCTTGATGCTCAGGAACGTGAGTTATATGGCAATAACCCGACTCTGCATCCCCCACAGGATAGTAATTACAGTCGACATGGGGGATTCAATGTCTCTGTTTTGGAGACTGCTTTGATAAGGCGCCGCCTTGATATGCAGCGTGCCCCTTCGGGTGGCGACCCGGACCACTGTTCGCACGTTTGTGCCTATATTCTACATGCTGCTGGCCACTACACCGCTCTTTTCCGTGCCTCTGGTTCTTGGGAATTATGGAATGGCGGTGCTATGGTGCAAACTATTACTGCCATATGTGATCTCGTGCGTAATTACCCTAACCTGCAACTGTTTCAGGTCATTGACCCTATGGGTACCTCGTGTACTTCCATGCCCGCCTCTACACCTATCTCTGTGCCTGCCTCCGTACCTGTCTCTGTGCCTGTTTCTGTGTCTGTTTCCTTCCAGATTACTGACTCTATGGGTACCACGTGTACTTCCGTCCCCGCCTCTGCACCTGTCTCTGTGCCTGCCTCCACACCTGTCTCCATGCCCGTTTCTGTGTCTGTCTCCGTGCCTACCTCCATGTCTGTCACCGTGCCTGCTTTAGTCTTCACTCCCCCRCATGCTGCACTAACACCTTGTGACCTCCTTCTTTGTGAGATCACTGACACAGTTACACTTGGTTGTGGAAAGCATCGACTTTGTCGACATCACTACAACCATATAATTTTTCGGGCCTGCTGTTAGCAGGGATGCCACCTGTATCCGGATTGTGAACATCCTCTACATCCGGATGCAGTATGTCTCATCTGTGCCTGCGGGCGCTATAGTGAATGTGCACTTAACTGTGATGGTGAACGCCCCACAATCGTCATGGCCTGCAACCGGCATGCCCTCTGTCGTGCATGCTTCAGAGGTATGGTTAATGCTAGCCGCCTTGACTCCTGCTGTGACGAAGTTGCTTACCTGAATAGTTTTCGTCCTGTAGATCAGCGGGAGGGATGCTACCATCACCCGCATCCTTATGACAGTTGTCCTATCTGTCCTGAGGGTCTTACTTAGACGTACCTTGCACCCTGATAAAAATGTGTAGGTGCGCTGAAAAGAGTGTACAAGAATGTGCAAAGGTGGGGAACCCTTCACTAAAACTGCAAAACTATGAAGAATGCAGTAAAAGAAGAACATAAGTTTGTGTCATCTTACTTTGTTTGTACCCTGCACCCTAACACCCTCAAAAGAAAAGTCCGAAGGGTGAAAATGAAGATGAAAAATGAAGAAGGAAGTGCAGGTGTGCTGAAAAGCAAACGTGGTAGACTCTTCACAAAAACTGCAAAACTGTGAAAGAAAGAAGAATGCAGTGAAAGAAAGAAGATGTTTGGGTCACTTTTTTTTTTTTTTTTTTTCCCCCTCCCTTTGCCTATCGGTTTTCCTTTTCTGCTCCTCTCTTCCTTGTGTTTAACACCTCTTCCTTCACTTTGCCTCTTTCCCATAGCGCGCAAGTGGGCTGTTATGGCATACGGGGATGGGGGCAGCTCGTGCTCAACTTCATCAACGTGGCGAGCCTTGTACGTTAGAGGCATAGTGGAGGAGGCGTTAAGAAGATTGAGAAACTGAATGATTTCAATGTCTCTTTGTTTTTTATTTTTATCCTTTGATTCAGTGTAATTTTTTTTTGTAAAAGAATGAAAGAATATAATAATACTGTGAAACAAAGAATAAGAGGACACTGTTTTCTATCATTTTGGTTTGTCTGTCTCTTTGCCTGTCTGTCCTTTCATTTTTCTTTTCTTCGCTCATCTTATTTCTTCTTCTACTTCACGTGGTTACGCTCTTAGTCAATAGTTCTGTGACAATATATATGCTAGGCTACCAGCCAGGCCGCCCGGGTCCCGGGTCGCCAGCCTGTGCAAGGACCAGGAAAGGTTCCAGCCAAAAAAAAAAAAAAAAAACCCTCCAAAAACTCCAGAAAAAACTATGTTATGCAGAAAACTAAATCGAACAACTTTTGCCTCAGGGTGAAATCAAAATTCTTTACCGAATTTAAATAAAAAATAAAATTTAAAAATATGTTTTTTATTCAATTTTTTATTTTGTTTTTTGGCCCAGCCGGGCAAGTGACCCCGGGCCACTCTGGTAGCCTAGTATATATGTATTATATGACACTTTTTTGGGTTTTGTTTTGGGTGAAAATGCCCCATTTTTGTGACTCCTTTCAAAGTCGGAGAATGTTAATTTTTTGAAAAGTCCTTTTCACCTAGTGCAAGGAAAATGAGTGATAGTGAACTTTAGAAATCAAACAGCATCATACACATGAGACCAGATAGTCGTGACCTCGAACCAATAGCAGAATTGCATCACGAGTTCCACCAAATAAGAGCACAACAAAAGCTTATAATTGACAATGCTGGAATAGTCTCATCATCATCAACGAAGAACCAATGTCGATATCCTATCTGGCGCTCGGCACCCATACTACAAATGGCAGATCCTATCTAGCCTATCTACAATGCCGCTGATGACGTCAACAGCTCCCTGAAGTACGAGCAGATCTCGGCCAATGCTGTTCGCCTCAAGCACCAGGTATGTCTCTCGTATCACTCACAACCTCGATCCCCAACTCACAGATGCCACTTGCACCCAAAGACCACCATGCGCCCCATCCAGCATACAGCAGCGCAACTTGGCTATGGCTGCCTGCTCCTTCCAGCTTGCCCGTGAGCATGTGAGCGTTGGCTAGTGTTAGCGCAGCATGCGGCCAGTGCCCGAATGTCCAATGCGTGGGCAGGCCGTGCTGCGTGCCGTAATGCGGTACTGGGCCCGGCCCAGAAGCTTCTGGTAGGCCCCACGAGGCTGAGCCTTAGTCCAGAGGAAACAGGCCCAGGGCCTGTGGTGGTTACTAGCGCCCAACCGTCCTCAGCCTTTGTTCAGTCCATGTTGTGTATCCGACCCAGGGCCTGTCTCAATTACATACGATGAAAGGCAGCCTGGGCCTGGGCGCTTCCAACCAACTTGCGCTGCGCAACTGCCTGAATTTCCCCAGTTGCGTAGTGACCCCAAAAATGGCATGTAGGCCTCGGTCGAGCCTGCCTTCACTTAAGGCGGCCGACTGTACTGAAAATAGGGCCCAATAGGGCGTATCGAGGCCTTATGCCTCGCATTCCCTCCTCCATACTTCGCTAGTCCTCTGAGAAGTTCATTCAATCTGGCGCTTTCCTTTTTGCAACAACTTCTCATAATGGGCGACAACCTGTGGTGCGGTGTGCATCAGCTCCTCCCGTGTGAACCATCTATCCTCCTTTGGATCAGTGTGATGTCTGAACCGAACTCTGTACTGCAGCTTCTGCTTCGGAGGACATCCCCTTCCTGTCGGTCTACAAGCATTTCCTTGTGGTCCACGATGTCGTCGATGTCGACCTCTCCGTCCGTAGTTGGGGGTAGCATTGAGCGACGAGTGGGAAACTGTTCAGTTTCTTTGAATGGTGCAAGCTTAGAGGCATGAAAAACAGGGTAGGTACAAAGGTGTCCCGGGATCCGAATGACATATGAGGATCCCTCTGGTTCATTCCCCACTACATCTAGAACCTCCCATGGCCCAAAGTACTGTGGCATGAGCTTACGGGAGATCCCGTGCTCTTGTCCTAATTCTGAAGCCTTGACCCAGACTCTGTCCCCTACCTGAAATGTAGATGGGCGGTGGTGCTTGGTCTCAGATTCGATCATCGCCGCCTGTGCTTTGTGCATGTGTTCTACCGCGTGCTGCATATGTTTCTCATATCTATAGGCAAATTCCAAAGTGCCCGGAGCAGCAGTGGGCTGGTTGTCAGGTAGCAGAAAGTCTAGGGGCAGTCTAGGCTTGAAAGTCAATAGCAGACTGTTAGGACTTTCTCCCGTAGCACTATGAACTGCGTTGTCGTACAGGCTGGCGATGAGAGCGAGCTTCTCATCCCAGTCCACTTAATTAGGCTTAATGTAATGCCTCAGCAAGTGTTGGACAGCGCGATTCATCTGCTCTGCCTGCCCATTTGCCTCGGATGGTTTCCAGATCTCATCTGCAACTGTGTTCCTTGTTCGGCAGTTGCGGCCTTCCACAGATCACTGGTGAATCGGACATCCTGTCGCTAATTGTAGACTTCGGTAGGCCAAAATCTCTAACCCAGTTTTCCTTAAACAGTCTGATCACGTACTCAGTCTTTGCTGTTTCTGGCATAGCTACTAGTCTAGCATACTTACTAAATCTATCCACGATGACGTAGATGTACCTCATGCCACTCTTGCTGGTGACTAGCGTATCCATGAAATCCATGGACAGGCTTTCACCAGGCCTTTCCAGAATGGGAAGGGGCATGAGAAACCCAAGAGGAGCTTGTGTTCGGGGCTTGTCTCGTTGACAAACTTGACAAGTGTCAACATACAGTTTGGCATCTCTCATCATCGTGGGCCACCAGAACCGATACAACAGATTTGTTGCAGTCTTTCTATACCCAAAATGTCCGGTGGCATCATGACGTTCTCCTAAAAATAAACTACGCAAAGAGTCCCGATTAGGCACACAAAGACGTTTATTCCCGGCCTTCTCAAGGAGCAGCAAGCCATTGATCAACTCAAACTCTTCAGACGTAGCCTTATTCTTCGCCTCAAGTCTGCATATGATCTCTGACATGAATGGGTCCTCGCGATAGGCTTCCACCAAAGACTGAGTACCATCGTCCGCAAGCCCAAATTCAGTGACCAGCGCACCGAGAAAATCTGGCACGACAGCGCATCAGCAACCTTGTTGTACTCCCCCTTGATATACTGGGGTTCGGAGTCATACTGCTCAATGACTTCGATCCAACGCTTCAGAGCGTCGAAGAGTACCGGTTGAGTCTTCATCCATCTCAGGGTATGATGATCAGTCCTGACATAGACGAAGCGACCTAGGAGGTAGTGCCTCCAATGGGTTAGCGCTTTGTAGATCGCACAAAGCTCCTTCTCATAGGTGGACTTGGCCAACTTTCGAGAGGGCATCTTTTTGGACATGTACTCTATCGGCCTCAACTTCTTCCCCTCCTGCTGCGCAAGTACGACATCAATGCCATATTGGCTGGCATCTGTAGTCACAACGAAAAGTTTATCAGGATCTGGAAGTTTGAAGACCTCATGGTGTGTCAACGCATGCTTCAGATGTCTGAAAGCAGCCTCACACTTGTCTGTCCACTCCCATGGGGTGTCAAGGAGTGTCCGGTCCGTCAAAGGGGCGGCCACTATACTATAATTCTGAACAAAGTTGCGGTAGTAGCCTTTCATCCCTAAGAAGGACCTCATCTCAGTTACAGACTGAGGACGCAGCTAGTCACGAATGCTGACCACCTTCGCGTCATCGGACTTCAAACCCTCTACGGAATTCTCATGACCCAGATACAAGATCTGGGTGCGGCCAAACTCAGACTTCTCCCGATTGAGCTTGAACTGGTGCTGTCTGAGGAGGCTAAGGACTTTATCTAAGTGCGCTACATCCTCCTCGACAGTCCTACTAAAGATAAGTATGTCATCGAGGTACACGATGACAAACTTGTCCAAGTAGTCATGAAATATCCGGTTCATCGCGTGCTGAAAGGCGCCAGGAGCATTGCAAAGGCCAAAAGGCATCACCACAAACTCGTACAGACCGTACCTGGTCTGCAATGCGGTTTTGTGTTGATCCTCGGACCATATTGCAATCTGACAGTACCCGGATTTCAAATCTATCTTACTGAAGTACCGACACCCTTGCACTCGATCCAACAAGTCGTCGATGCGCGGTAGGAGCTCTGTGTTCTTCACTGTGATGGCATTGAGGCCCCTTTAGTCAATGCACATCCTCAAGGTCCCCCTCTTCTTCGGTACAAATAAGAATGGCGATCCGTAAGGGGAAACACTAGGCCGGATCCAACCCTTCTCTATGAGATCCTTGAGTTGCCGACGAAGCTCATCGAGCTCATGGAGCTCTGCGTTCTTCACTGTGATGGCATTGAGGCCCCTATAGTCAATGCACATCCTCAAGGTCCCCCCCTTCTTGGGTACAAATAAGACTGGCGATCCGTAAGGGGAAACACTAGGCCGGATCCAACCCTTCTCTATGAGATCCTTGAGTTGCCGACGAAGCTCATCGAGCTCACCTGGAGACATCCGATAGATTCTACCCTTCGGAATGCTAGACCCTGGGATAATCTCTATTGCATGGACGACCTCCCTCTCAACAACCCCTTTCGACTCTTCAAATAGATCAGGGTACTTAGCGACCACTCCCTCTATCTGTGGAGGCGTTTTCACCGGCTCACCCTCTGCAGAGACGTAAACTAAATACATACCCTCCTCCGGATTTTGCTTATAATAGTTGTAGAGCATGGCCAGACACATGCATCCGTAGAACTCCATCAGACTACTAGCTTTGAACTTACGTAATCTGGCGGTCCCCCCTCTGGGCAAAGTGTGTTTGACCACTTTTCGGTCCCAGTCAAACTGGGGCTGTGCAACCGAGAGGTAGTACATACCTAACAAGATGTCCATTGGGAGACCATCACTGACTAGGAATGAGGTGTGATGTCTCAGTTCCCCTCCCGCATACGGGAAAAGACACTCAATGTCTTTGAGGTAGTCATTGACTACCATGCGTTGTTTGTTGGCACAGATCGACTCAGGCGCTGCACTTGCTCCTGTAAGCGCAGCCTCTCAACACACGAGCGACTAATGAAGTTCCGTGTCGAGCAAGTGTCATAATAGGCCCTGGCCTTGCGGTCGTCGATGACTACCTCACCGACGAACATCTCACTCCTAGGGGATTTAGCCAATGCCGTCCAAGAAGCTAGCGGGTTTGATTTGGACCACTCCTCCTCTAGCTCCTCTAAGGACTCAAACACATTCATCGAACAGAGGCTCGATGGGTCTGAATGTGTTTGCGGGACGACAACGGAGTTAGTAGCTTGGGCCATCTCTCGAGATGGTGAGGGTGTGTCCACCACCTCGACCCTAGCAGGAAAAACTACTATTCCTACTGGCCCGACGTGTTTCCCAGAGCAGTGCCAGAACTGCTGGCCACATTGCTACCAACGGGAGCGAAGGATCCCAACGCCTGCCCCATCGTAGGCGGGATCTTCTCGGTCACCTTCCTATTACGACACTTGAACTGATTGTGGCCATATTGGCCACAACAGATACAAGCCTGCCGGGTGTAACGGTCTCTCCACACGTCTTCTGTTAGACCCGCTTTCTCCCATGGAGGAGCGTTGGGGTCAACTTGACTCCTAGACCGGGAGCCTCCACGACGTCTACCGGTCGCCTTACCTTTTTGTACTGAGGCAGCGACTACTCCACCCCCTGAAGCCTCTACGCTACCTGCTTCTGAACCCGCTCCCGCCTGGAAATCGTCTGCCAACTCGATGGTAGAACCATCGTTGTCGACGAACATAATGCGACCCTTCGCCTTCCAGTTGGGAGGCAGTGTCTTCTTCCTACCGTCCGTTTTGGGTGTTTGTCCATGCCCTATCTTTGCCTCTAGGTCTAGGGCCTTCTTGCTGAACGAGGGGAAGTTGTGCATGTTGATGTTGGCCTCACTTGCCAACTAATTCTTGAGAGGCATAGGAAAACATCTCAGGTAGGAGGTGAGTAAAACCTGGGGGTCATAGCGCACTCCAGTGACACAGATCAGACGCTCTACTGCGTCCGTGGCCTCCCTTACTAACTTGAACTGTCTGTTGTTCAATGTCAGGATCGCATCAGTGGCCTTTTGAGCCTCCTGAGGATCGTGGCACCTGTCTTCCACCAGCTTGAGGAAGTCGTCTAATTTCCGGTTGATTGCCCAAACGCGGAAGTCATGACCGTATCCCTGTAGTTGCACCAAACCACTCAACCATCTCGCTGCACTCCCCTCTAAGTAGGAGGCAGCCACAAGCACTTCCTCGTGCGGCAAGGTAAGTTTGCACTTGACATAGACTGACACTGACCTCAACCATGTGTCAAGGTCTTCACCCCTCTTGTCCCCCGAAAAAGGTTTGGGAGAGGCGATGGAAGTCTTTGGAACCCACAGAGTTTGTCCTGGTACCTGCACCATTCCGGGCTGTGGACCTTGAGGCGCAGGCTGCTGCACTAGCTGATGCTGGGGCTGTGTACCCTGTGGCTGTGCAGGCTGCGAGACAACAGGCTGCCCGCTTACGACAACCTGCAACGGAGGTTGGGAAAACATTGTCGGTACAGGAACCTGTACACTAGGACCTGCTGAGAACCCTCCTGTCAACGGCATGCCTAGGGAAGCGGCTTGGGTCGATGCTGGAGTGACATATGGGGATACCCCAGTCATCGGTGGGACAAAAGGTGGAGGCTGTACAACGGGCCAGGCACCAGGCGCGGACGGCGATGGAGCTGCCTGCACTCGCCCGACCAACAGGGCCAGACTCTGCTGGATGTCCTGAAGGAGGGCCGTGTGGTGGTCCTGCATTTCTACTACACCTAGCAGAACTGTCCGCAACGTCCTCACATCTGCATCCATGTGCGTCAGATCCATGCCCTCTAACTCATTGACGTCCGCTTGTCTCCGCTGCATCCTGGCTCTTCTTCTAATCATCTTCTCTTTCTCTGCCTTAATCTCTCCTAACGCCTGCTGTAGCTGTGCCTCGCGAATAGCTGCTCGCTGTATGGCGACCTCCTCGGGGGTCAAAACTATCGGCTGGCTTGCCATAACGCTAGTGGACTGACTCATGGTCTGTGCGACCGTCGACCCTACAAAACCTGAATTACTAGCTTGAGAGCTTTGCTGCGTGGCAGATGCCATGGCTGCTGAGGTAGCGGCCTCGCTCGCGAATGCCCTGCTTGCCTCTGCGGCCCTAGCCCTCCGCTGCTGCTGCTGTCTCTCCCTCTGCTGGCGGAAGAGGTGTCTGTCGCCCTCTGGTCCTAATGCCAAGTGGGCTATCGGGCGTCCCGCTGATTGCAGGATCCGGTCGTCCTCTCTAGTTTCCTCCCTGTCGCTCATAGGCCACAACACTGTACACTGTCTGCAATAGGACACTCTCGATGCCTACCGCAGCATGATGTACAGACCGATTTAAAAGTAAAAAAAATAAATAATCGGTGGCTATGTCAAAGACTACACATTTGGGTCCAACAGGTAAGTTTAGATTCCTACAAACGAAACTACTTTGACTTTGACTAGTTCGCAAACAGAAAGCACAATGAACAGAGAACAGGCTGTCCGTCAGATGTTAATGGCTGTATATCTCACTAATCAAAATAAAAATAGAATCATTTGTTGGGTCTGTTTGCAGAATGGAATCTTACCCGAACTTATCACCTAGAATCTACCCCTCCCTCAATTCTTCCTGAATGTCTCTTGCCGTCAACGTCCCTGAGCAATCTGGAACAGCGTGCGTGTTTAAAGGTGTGCACACGGCCCACCCCTGTGCCCCGAGTCCTGTTGAGCTGGCCAACCCTGCACCGTATTTATCCTCGCGTGCAGCGAGCCTTACACCGACCGATTGGCTGATGAGGAGGCGTTTTTATGGACGGCCCCCGAAGTCCTCAGGAATTATTTAACGTTGCGAACAGGACGACGATCACAGCCAATGGAAGGTCCCCGCCGGTGTTTATTTATAGACGCCCGGTACTCGTCTTTCCCGTAGGGCTGGCCTGCCCCTCAGAACCCCTCTATAGCGCAGCGAGCAGACAAAGGACAAAGCAGCAAAGCATGCGTGCTCTACTCCCGGTGGGTTGGCATGGTGACTGTGACCCAGTGCTTCGTCCAGGGCCCTTCAGATAGCACCGCCCTCTCCTTCCAGATGTTCCACGTGAAGACTGACGACCCTCAAGGTTGAGCGCACACGACTCCTCACATGAGAGGACTCTCAAGACAGAACACACCTCCTCACGGTAAGAAGTGTCGAAGAGGGTAGATAAGGTTAGGTGCAACGTACCTCAAAATAGCTGCCCCCAACCACAGATATTCTCACCAGATGACCCGATGTTGATTGTGATGACCAATCGCTGCTCTGGCACAACCAGCATTGCACCGCTGCTCCATCTCAGCATCAATCACACATCGGATAGTTCTCATCACACTGCGAACACCCAATAGTCCCCACATAGCCTTCCTGGCGATCCCCTGTCCACCTGGGTCGCCTGCTTGCCTTCGCCCTCGTCACTACACACTCCCTACGGCCGCTCGCTTAGCAGGCCACATGCATGTACCGCATAGGCAGAAGACAAGCACCAGATGAGCGCACCATACCACAGCTCCGATACCAAATTGCAAGGAAAATGAGCGATAGCGAACTTCAGAAATCAAACAGCATCATACACATGAGACCAGATAGTCGTGACCTCGAACCAATAACAGAATTGCATCACGAGTTCCACCAAATAAGAGCACTGCAAAAGCTCATAATTGACAATGCTGGAATAGTCTCATCATCATCAACGAACAACCAATGTCAATATCCTATCTGGCGCTCGACGCCCAGACTACAAATGGCAGATCCTATCTAGCCTATCTACAATGCCGCTGATGACGTCAACAGCTCCCCGAAGTACGAGCAGATCTTGGCCAATGCCGTTCGCCTCAAGCACCAGGTATGTCTCTCGTATCACTCACAACCTCGATCCCCAACTCACAGACGCCACTTGCACCCAAAGACCACCATGCGCCCCATCCAGCATACAGCAGCGCAGCTCGGCTATGGCTGCCTGCACCTTCCAGCTCGCCCGTGAGCGCGTGAGCGCTGGCCAGCGTTAGCGCAGCAGCGCTTGCGCAGCATGCAGCCAGTGCCCGAATGTCCAGTGCGTGGGCAGGCCCTTCCCTATATCGAAGTGGCCTGCTGCTGCGTGCCATAATGCGGTACTGGGCCGCGGCCCAGAAGCTTCGGGTAGGCCCCACGAGGCTGAGCCTCAGTCCAGAGGAAACAGGCCCAGGGCCTGTGGTGGTTACTAGCGCCCAACCACCCTCAGCTTTTGTTCAGTCCATGTTGTGTATCCGGCCCAGGGCCTGCCTCAGTTACATACGATGAAAGGCAGCCTGGGCCTGGGCGCTTCCAACCAACTGGCGCTGCGCAACTGCCTGAATTTCCCCAGTTGCGTAGTGAACCCAAAAATGGCCTGTAGGCCTCGGTCGAGCCTGCCTTCACTTAGGGCGGCCGACTGTACTGAAAATAGGGCCCAGTAGGGCGTATCGAGGCCTTATGCCTCGCACTAGTGTTTGATGAAGATAATTACAGCTTTACCTTTCTCGACCTTCAAGTGCAGTGTATCTGTTCTGATCAATTTTATATCTGATCCATGGTCCATCAGACTACATGATACTAGATTAATGTTTTGGGGCCCCGCAGGGGTCGCATGGGCAAGCTTGCTTGCTCGTCCCCTTCAGCGTTGTCTCTGTGTTGCACTGCTGCAGAGAGTCCCCAACCTTGCAAAAAAAAAAAAAAAAGAAAAAAAAAAGAAGAAACTTTAAAAAAGATAAATGGAGGTGCTCGAAAATAATAATCAAGTGGAGAAGGACGAGGAGGATGCGGGAGAGGAAGACATTATAACCGATGCCTATGTAATGCTCTCTGCATGTGAGACTAACATATGATATAATGTTTCTGACAAACTAATCGGAATTTTCCATTTCCTCTCTCTCCCCTCTAGCGCCCGTGTGTGCCCTCTGGCCAGTGCCCAGGCAGCAAACCAGCGCTCCACTGCACCAGCGTGGCTGCTCTCTTGCACTGCCAGGATGTCTCTGGCTGGGCTCTCACTTTCCAAATCGAAAGTGAGCCCTGCTCCTGGCTGCCCTGGGCCTGGGGAGCGTGTGCCCAGTAGCTTCACGGTGGCCCAAAGTGTCTGCGCCCAGGCTCATTTAGACGGTGGCCTGGGCCTGCAGCAGTTAAGCTGCCTGCGATGTGGCCGCTGTCACTCGCTGCATTCTCATTAGCCCACAGGCCACTTGCCACGTCGCTGCCTGGATTTTCATTGGCCGAGAGCACTCTGCCCACGTCCCAAGGTGGGGGAGCCCCGAGGCTCAGTATGTCGTGCTCCCACTGGGTGTGGGACTTGTAACCAACTGGCGCGTGGCAACTGTCTGGCGCCCCCTCACGCAGAAATGACAAAATTGGGGCCTCGTGACAAAATGCAGGCCCGCCTTCACTTAGGGTGGGCGCAAGGCTTGCTCGGGGGCCCTTGGTATGTCGGGTGCCGAGGCCTGAAAGGCCATGCGAGGGCTCAATCCTTGCAAAAGGTTCGGACGCCCAGAAAAATCTGCAGGGTGTTTGCAATGTTCGACAAGCCAGGAGTGCTGTGTGGACGGTAGTCTACAGGTTCGCACTCACAAACATCTTCTCTTGGCAGAGACCCTACCTGCCCCTATAACAAAGTCACAAAAACAACACCGCATCAACAGCAACAATGACAACAACAACGGCTGTAGCAGCAGCAGCAACAATGTAGCTGTACCCCTTTGGGACTTTCCCTGTGTTGTTCCCGTCCACTCCCCTACCCTCCGTCTGTTCCTGGTCTGGTAGGCCTGGCACATAGGTCGGCCCCTGGTTCGCCCAGGCATATCTCTTTGTATGTTGCTTCATTCCTCTTTCCCGACTCCTTCACAACCCAGCTGCTGGTCATGTGTGTGCCTGGCGACGTGCATGTGTGAGTCGGTCGGTCTGTCCCCTTCAGTCTCTTCCTCTCTCCTTCACCCTCACACCTTTCAGGGCACGTGCACACGGTCCGCTGTGCTGTGCTCCTGCATCAAACAACCACCACCACCACAACAAGAAATAGCAGCAGCAGTAACCACCACTTCGACAACAACAAAAAAAACAAGAATAACAGTTCATTCATCCATCCAGTCTTTCCATGCCATCCATCCATCAATCAAGTAGATCCATTGCATCTAATCCACCCGTCCCTGCTGTGCATGTCAATCCTTAATCGAATGTGCTTAGTTTTCAAGGACTGTTTTGTTTTCCTTTTACATACATCAACACAGCTGATACAAAAAGCACAAGGCATTTAAAATAATTTGTAGTTTCATCTGTCCATCCCATCCATACATCTTGTCATGCATGCATCCATCCATCCATCCCATCGTTCATCGAATCATCTCATCCGCTGTGGCATTCTGAGCCACACGGGCCCTAGTTATCGCCCAGTTCCAGACAGGCAGGGTAAGCCTAAGGGACGACGGTTCAGATGAGGCCCAGATGGGCCTGGACCATGACGGTTCAGGCAGGCCCAGGCCAAATGGCTACAAGGCCGGTACCGGTCCGGCCTAGGACCTACCGGCGGCGCTGCAGAGGCTGCCACAGTTTTGGGCGCCAACCAGTTTTGAAACTGGACCGTTGATCTAGATCAACGGTCCAGGCCGGTAGGTACCAGCGGGTAGGAGGCCGGCCC